TCCTTCTGGGGTCTTCCTTCACACACCCCTCCCCATCCTGGATTCACGCCATCTCTTTCCTCCTCTTGTTTGCACCCAGCCAAGGGCACCTCGCAGGTCCGCCCTCCCTCCCTCCCTCTCCCCCTTTCTCCAAAATACCAGAAGTCAAGGGCGGTGCGATGGTCTTATTTCCATGTTTATTGGAGGGAGGGGAGCAGTGTATATGTTGCTTTTATAGAAGGAGAGAAGTGAGCGGCTTGGGGAAAAAGCTTAAATTTAAAAGAGGGAGAGGAAAAAGGGCGATAAAAAACCCAAAGTCTGGGGCAGAGAGATTTAGTTCCTTCTGAAAGCTGTTGGTGGAAATGAAAAGCTTTTCTTTGGGCCCTGGCATTAATAGTGAGAGGAGAGAGATTGGAGCTGAGCAGCCTAAGGCTTTAATCAGCCCTCCCTTTGACAAATCGAGGGGGCACGGCTTGAGGGGAGCCCCCCTTGCTTTGTTCTAGTGCTGCCTTTAGTCTTCTCTCGGCTGGGGGCAGGAGGGCCCCCCTCCCCGCTTCCTGCCTTGAGCCGAGGGCCAGGAGGGCCGTGCCCCGAGGAAAGCGTGCCCCACATGTGCTTGTGCAGGAGAACTCACCACCCCAGCAGGCTGGGTGCAAGCGCTTTTTAACGTTGCTAAAGTGTCCCATAAGTTAATCTCTCTCTGAGGACATCTGCCAAGCGATATGGGGTTCAGAAAAACAGGGGCTTTTCTACAGCCTCCTTCCAGGAAAGGCTCACCTGGTGCCACCTGGTGTTCTTTGGGGAGTTGAAAAGAAGCTTCGGTCTTCCAGGATTTTAGGGAACCCATTTGAAGCTGTTGAATAGATTCTGGATGGGGCATTTAAATGTTTTAAGCCCTGCATAATCAGTGTGATTGGGACTCAGTTGCCCTCAGCTGCCCGCCACCCTGGTCAGTGTTCAGAGGCGATGGGAGTTGTAGTCCATTAACAGCTAGAGGTTCAGCCTCCAGCACTAGAAGCTGACCCACTTTCTGCAGCTTCTTCTGGAAATTCTGATCCGCTCAGCATCCCTGAATCTTGGCTCCAGGCAGCCTGCGACATTCCCCGCGCGTCCTCCTCTTCTGCATCTCGAGCCATGGAGCCCTCAGACAAGCTTCCAGGCCTGGAGGTGGCCAGGCTCGTGGCAGGGGGGGGGGTGGGGGGGCTCTGAGGGGCGCTCCGTGCCTCTCCGAGGGGGTGGCCGGGGCCGTGAACCATCCTGCTCCCCACTGCTGCCAGAGAGGGAGGCCAAACACGGTGTGCTTTTTAAGCAGCGATGCTTTTGGGAAGAGGCGCGAGCTCTTGAACACGGGGCCTCGGTGACCAGGGAAGACTTTGAATCAGGACATCAGGGAGCGCCAGGCGTGTGTTGCCTCCTCCCGCCCCCTCCCTCTTCTCTCAAAGGGCCTGCAATTCCCGGGGGCTGGATCCGGGGCGCGTGGAAGTTGTGTGCTTTGGAGAAGGTCTTGGGGTCGAAGGAGAAGACCTGCCTGGCTGGGTCCAGAATGGGGTGGCGCCAACCTACATTTTCCCCTTGCTCCAAACCATGTGGAGGTTGGCTTTCTCAGAAATTTTGTTCTGGTTTCCAGCTTGGGAGGAGCATTACGCCCGTGTCGAACAGCACTGCCCTCGCCAAGTTCAATCCTGTTACCCCGCCAGCCAGCTGGCTTTTCTGCTCCCGTTTGCATCATGACCTGTAAAGGATGCTGGGCAACGTTTGCCCACCGGTTTGCATTTGGGCTGAAGCATCCGAGTCTGGCTTGCATTTTGCACATCTGGGGGAAGGAATGGCAGCTTTGGGAGCCGAAGGGCTGTGGAGAAAGGGGACTTTTGGCCCAGCAAATTTTTTTCTCTCCATACACAAATTATTTCTTGTGACGTGCGCTGGCCGTTATTTCTTCCTGGGCTCAACAATCAATAGGACTGCAGCGTTTTCTCTTATCTGGAGAGAAGTGACAGCAACCCTAAATGAAATCTCTCTGCAGTGTGTGCTTATCATGGCTATAATTCTGTTCCGCCGGTGAAGGACCCGATCTGTGGCTTGCATGAAGAAGCGGGGGGGGGGGGTTTGTGTGTGCATTGGGGGGCGCACCCGGTCTTCACCCGTGTGGGGTGTGGGTGTGGGGGTGTTAGG